ATAAAGATGGAACTGATTTTTCCCTTTTTTTTATTTGCTACGTGTATCCACCAATTAAGGAAGTAATTCGTACTTTAATTTATACTCTTTTCTCATTTTTTTCCCCACAACTACTTTAAAATATAGATATGAATTAATTCGTAATAAATAAAACTTATGAATAAGAGCTCGACTAATATAAAAAAAAATCATGAAACTTATTATAATATATAGTGTTGTGTTAAGTTTGCCTTGTGATCTTAGATTACAAGGAAGTATATAATTGCCTATAACTGACTCATTCAAACCAACAATGTTAATAGATAGTTATATATCATGAAAGAAATTTTAAATATTGTGATTACCAAGTCAATCAGATCAACTTGGGTGGGGTTACCCATCCCTTTTTGTTTTTATTTTTGTTTTTTTTTTTTCCTCATAAAAGCAAAACCAACCAATAAATCCCATTAGCTTTGGACAATTTTAGTAAATGGATTACTAATACAATTGTAAAGTTGGAGGTTTGCTCAGGACTAGACTTTTTCTTAGTAGGAGTGAAATTTTGTAGGCACAATTCATGTTGAATTTAGACTAGTTTCTAAGTAATGATGATAGTCACGATATTGATGTTGTATGTTGAGATAAGAGCACTCCCACTAATAATTTTTGGTCGAGTTTTTGAAAAAACAAGGATGATGTTATAGAAAAATAAAAATCTTTTTGCAAGGAGTTGAATTTTATCAGAAAAATGAATCTCAAATGGAGGAGGGAGGGCGCATCCAGTTCATATTGCGGGAGCGTAATGGCTTTTGTTTTTGTTTTTGTTTTTGTTTTATACTATAATTTTTTTTTTTTTTAATGGTTGCTAAACGAGATTGGTATTATGTCGTTGTCATAATCGGCCAATCCAGTCGGCTGGCAGCTGGCTGATGAAGAATGGCATTACATTTAATGCATGGAATAGGACGTGGCCTACGTATCTCATTTCTTCAAGTAACGTTTTTGTTTCATTTTTTTTTTTTTGAGAATGTTTTTGTTTCAATTTTTAATGTTTGTTTTTGTGAATCAAATTTTATAAAATAATTTTAGCGTTAGAATTGCATTTATTTTGGGGCTTTTTTTATTTTAAGAAAATCTCATGTCCATTTTTTGTTTTGTTTTTTTTGTTTGTTTGTTTGTTTGTTTGTTTGTTTTTTTTTTTGTTTTGTTTTGTTTTTTACATGGAATTTAATTGTTCAAAACAATAACGTACCTACATAAAAGGAATGGCAATGGTCGATATAAAAATATATATATATTTAAATTATATCTTATGATTTAATGTATAGTCCTTTCAACATATTACACACACACACACACACACACACACACACACACACACACACATATATATATATATATATATATATATATATATATATATATATATATAATATTAGATGAACTGGGTTCATTATCGATGCATTTTGTATTCTTTTAAAATTCATTTTTGCTTTATTCACTTGATGAATAAATAAGAAAACAAACTAATTAAAATGAACATGAATGTTGTTCATTATTTGTAAGCACTACATGTTATACTCATATTGACTTTGTAAATTTGTATATATCAATTCAATGTATTGAAGCACGAGCTTAATGGGCTCCACTAGTGATAATGGGTTGTTACAAAAATTTTGACTCTAAATTCAAATTTTGAAAATTTTTATTCTTTTATATATAGGGAACAAAAAAAAAAAAAAAAAAAAAAGAGCAACATTTTTTTAAAAGTAGGAAAAAAGAAGAAAATAAATTTTAAAAAAATGTGTCTATATATAGGAACAGTTCAAATGAGAATTACTTCTTCCCGTCAAAAATGAGAATTGATTTCAGCCTTCTACTAAAGTTCATACCAAACCATATAACTTGACCAGGGCTATTTCTATGATATTTTATGTTTGAATATACTATAGATAGAGTTAGTTGAATGATTAAACGCAATCCAAGTATCCAACAAATGGAGTAATGTTTTAGGAAGAATGATGAATTTGGAGCCTATAAGATAAATAAAATAGTGAAAGTTTGGATGACTAAAAATGACATATATACACTAGAAACCAAGGGCCAAATCAAACGTAGCAATTAACATTTAGTAAAGTAGCAGTCCATTTGTTACCACCATTTAATAAACAAAAAACAATACAAAGTTCAAAATGACGTTCGCCAGCTTTCCGACAAACTTCTTCTAGTTGGAGATTAGAATATATGCAAACATATATATATGTATATGCGTTACAAGACGATGATCTATCATTCCACTTACCCTTTCCTCGGCTCCCACAACAGTAAAAATACATTTGTTTCCATTCCCTGTCGGCTTTTATATTATATTCACCATGTATCAGAGTGCACAAATTATTCTACCACAGAAATAAGAATTTCGGATGTAAAAACAAGATTGATTGTAGTACAATTATATACAAGTCTGATCTGATCTGAGCTGGCATGTGTATAGTATATAGTAATATATAGGCCAACGAGCTTCTTCTTTCTTCTTGCAAAACTGACTCATCACTGTGTTTCCAGGGTGGCACCTTATATGTTGACTAGTCCCGGCCCTAAGATGTGGATGAAATGACACTAGTCTTTTTTGTCTTAATGAGAGATTTCAAGTTTAAATCCTGATAATGCAGCTGTTCGGTATGAACATGATTAGCTTTGCCGTGCGGGATCGTTTTAGTGTATCCTAATTGAGGAAATATGTGGTCAATTTTTTGTTTATTTTTAAAATTTATATATATATATATATATATATATATATATATATATATATTTATTTATTTATTGGGCACTTGTCTTACTGATTTGGACTGTAGTGTTAGCATCACAAAGTACAGTCGCACTTTGGTTTGTGTTTGGCCATTCTAAGCTTTCACCAAACTTTCAAAATTTTAAAGTTGTGTTTTCTGTATAATTAAATGGAGGAGTTAATACCATCTAGAATCCTCCGAGTATAGTGATTTTGTCATTTTTAGTCATAAATTTTCAAATTACCACCCATGGTCCTTCAACTTTTAAAATTTAACTAGCCGCGGCCTACTTGGAAGGACCATAAGTGGTTAAAATTTGATAGTTTAAAGACCATGGGTGGTTGTTCACTTAGACCATGGATGGTAACAATTTAAAAGTTGAAGGACCATGAATGGTAATTTGAAAATTTAAAATTAAACGTGACAAAATTATAATACTCGGAAGACTCTAGATGGTATTAACTTTTAATTGGAGTATGAGAAAATGATTTGAAAACCTGTAGATGCCGACTGAATCCCAAATGGACTCTCTATAATTATTACAGTGTAAGGAAAAGGCCAACTACCCAACTATTCTTGGTGGGAGTGAAATCCGGCCTCGACTTCAAATATGATGGAGTTATTGACATTATGACTAAAATACATAATTTTATTTTTAAGAATTTAGTGAATTGAAACTTTATATACTTTTTAACCGTTTTTAAAATTTTTCTATCAAGTTAGAATGATAATATATACACATTATTATAATGTAAAGGGATAAGGGTCAAATACACCATTCAACTATATACCAAAGTGCAATTAACCCCTTCAACTATACAAACCTTCAATTAAACCCTTAAACTTGTTTAAAATATGCAATTACCATTTTTAACAAGTTACCAAAAAATAACAAGTTAACTTTGCTTGCTTGGCATTTACATGGCATTTCATTTAGCATTTTTTTAATTAAAAAACATAAAATAAAAGTAATTAAAAAAAAAAAAACTTAAAAGTCACGGGATTCGTCGATGTCGCCGGATTCGTCTGTTCTTAGTTGCCGGCGGCGGATAAATTCGTCCGTTCCGTTCGACTGCTCCGTTCTTCCGTCCGACTTCTCCGTTCAAACAGATTCATCCGTTTGTAATTGTCGGCTCCGGATTCGTCTGTTCAATGGACTATTACGTCCGTCCGTTCATTTAAACAGAGAAGCTCGCTGGCTTCTCTTTTCCGATCATGGAGAAGCCAACAAGCTTCTCCGTCCAAATCTGGATGGAGAAGCTCACTGGCTTCTCCATGTACGGAGAAGAGAAGCCATGACTTTTCCGTTTGAGAAGCCAGCAAGCTTCTCCATCCAAATCTGGACGGAGAAGCTTGCTGGCTTCTCATAGTCCATGGCGGCTGGCTGCCAGCCTGCCATGACCTTTTTTTTTTAAATTAATTTTTTTATAATATAATTAATTTACTTTAAAATATATAACCTTAGAATATTAATTGACATGACATCTTACGTGGAACTTACGTGGCAAGTGACTTGAAGGCAACATACTATTATAAGTCAAATATATTAATTGCATAATTTTAACAAGTTTAAGGGTTTAATTGAAGGTTTTTTTAGTTAAGGGGCTAATTACACTTTGGTATATAGTTGGAGGGCCTATTTGACCCTTATCACTAATGTGAATAATGTTACATGTATTAAATCTTAATTTTATTTGTGACTTTAATTATATAATAATAATAATAATAATAATAATAATAATAATAAGTTCAACTCAATTTTTTAATTATATTATATAATATTTGATGTTATAATTTATACAATTGTATATAAATTTAAGTATTTTTAAAATATTATAACAAATTCATTTCGTGCAACGTACGTGCGCAAATACTAGTAATTATATAATAATAATAATAATAATAATAATAATAATTAATCAAGTGTTAAGTAATATAAAGTGGGAGAAGACGTTACTGCCACAGGTGAGGTGCACGTGTACACGTGAAATGGCTGTAGCTTTCCAGTGTTGAATGGCAATCTCTGTAAATATTCCCGAAATCCAAGGGCATATTGTAATCCACAGCCTAAAAATCGCCTCAATCTCAAGTTTTTCAACTTTCAACGCCCATCTTCATCTTCGTCATCTGGTAACGTCGCTGCCCCGTCGGTCCAGCCGTCCACGCGTCGCAATCGCATTAGCCTGTCCTCCCTATAAATACCCTCCTCTGTTACCCACTCCTCCTACCCTCTCTCCTCTCCCTACCTAGCCCCTATACATAGCCTTCTCTCTCTCTCTCCCCTTTCTCTCTCTAGACTTCCAGATCTGTGAAGGCGAATACGTTGTCGTGTGTTTGCGGCGGTCTCTAATTCGCTTGGTGCAGGTCGGGAACTATCGCCGCGCCGGCGGCTGAGCGAGCACGGTTGCGTCGTCGTCTCCGGCGAATTTAGCTCCCGCCTTGCATCAACTGAATCGGAGCCCGCGGTGAATTGTTTGTTGTCTCTCGAATCCTGTACGCGCGAGTCAACTACGTATTGGACTCGTCTTATCTCTTAGGTTTGGATTTGCTGAATTTATAACCGTTCTGTTTGTTTATTTATTTATTTACAGTATTTATTTGTAGAAATGAGCATGGTTTTCTCTGGATCTAAATGGCTGGTAAGCTCCGCGTTTAGTCGCTTCTCTAGATCTTGCATTTATGTATAGTCAATTTGCTTCACTGGAGATTACAGCTGGAATTGTTATACTGTAAGTAATTTTAAAACAGGGACTTGTTTGTTTGCTCATTTTAATTCACATAAATGTAAGAAAACGGGATTCAGCTTAGCGTTGTTTATAGTTATCAAGCATTTTTGCTAATATTGTGTCGGGATTTTTCTTTTGTATTCATAAATATAAGATATGTTCTCTTCCTTACTCGGCGAATGTGATAGCAGAGCCATAAAGTTGGTGAAACACATACAGGTGAACAGCTTCTTTTTTCTCATGGATTAGACATTAGTTAATTAAAATTAGTGGAAACATAAAAGATACAGAGTCTAATAAGAAGCTTTCTTTGTTGAATGATTTTCTGCATATATGCCCCCAATCCCAAGTCTAACTGCTGCTCCAGTTGAATCTGAGTTGGAGTTGGATTACAGTATTTGGAGAATGAAAAAAAGATTTGATCTTGTTGCATGTTTCCGGGTTTCCTTTAAAAAAAAATAAAATAAAATTAATGAGCATATAGAATAAATCCCATAAGAATAAAAGTTATCCAGTAAAGGCTTAATCATATCAGAAAGAGAGAACTTTCCTGATTTGTGTCCTACTTTGGTGCCTTCCGTGTTTCTATTGGTCCTTTCATGACACCTGGGCCTTATCTGTATGGTCACAGAGTGCTTTAGTTGAATACTTGAATGTAGATGCTGAGAGAGGGTGCATTACTGACAGGGACATCATATTTATAAGACATTTTCCAGTTGGATGTACCCTGAGAGCTGTGTGTTGAGGTTTTATGATGTTTTTAGATGAAAGGTTTTAGTTTTTAGTGTCTTTTGATAAGCAAGCAATCTCTGCAAGTCAGCCTGTGAAAGAGAATGCATGATTGTTAACTATTGGTAGAAAGTGATTCATTTTCAGACCTGCTGATACTGTTTGCAACATTGCACTGTTCTGGGCCATGATAATATTGGTTTCATAGCTAGTTTTAGATTTTGGAATGAATTTGTTTCCTTATATGAAGTCTCAAGTTTTTGTAGCACAATCAACAAGATGCAGGGCTTGCTATCAGATTGTATTCCACGAGTCTTCGACTCTTCCCCTTTACATCTTATACCATCAGCTTGAGCTTCCATTTCAATCTCTGTTCAAGCTCACAAACAACAAAAGAGTAATCATCTGTGTGCTGTCTCCATTATTTTCTCTGATTGTCTCAGTAGATGCAGGTGGGTTTTCTAGTATCACTGGGGTTCGATCTGTGACATTCTCTCAAGAAAAGTCAGGTTCCAACCGAGCAGAAGGTGCAATCTAGTTGATAAGAAGCTTATTATTCTCTGACATGATCAAGTTCTGCATTTTGGAATCTTGTCAAAAGCCTTGCTTTCATGGCAGCCCTGTAATTGACATATCCATATTCTGTACAGATCTTAGTTCTTACGTTATGCAACTTGTACAGGATTCAACATTGTGTGACTAATCTTATTAGACTCAATGATTACTTCATTAATATAATATAATGCAGTTGCTTACAACTTTTACAATTCCCTCACAGATATTTTCTTTCTTTCTGTTTCTGGCATTTGTTTTGATAAGCCTTGTGGGCTGGCTGCTGCTTCTTTTATTACTGATTGGCTTCTGATCTCAATTGATTTGCTTATGTGGACTAAATTATTGAATATATAGTGATTTCACCATTTATATCATACATATAGTATACATAAAAAAGAAAAAACAAACCAGTTAAGTCATTGTAAAATACGTAACACTCTATCAAATCAATCATGAGTAACAATTAAATTAAATGTCATGTATAATCATCAAACCAACACATGATTTAAGGTACTTTTTTCAAGTGTGGTGTCAGTAGCACAACATGGGCATGTATAGGGAGATCGGACTGCATGGCAACTAGCAAGCTACTAGACTAGTACCTCCATACCCATGCTAGGGGGAATTATTAGCCCATTATACAGTACAGAGCATAGGGACAGAAAAAGGAGGGGGGGGGGGGGGGGGGGGGGGGGGTGTGTGGCATTCATCGTATGCAACTTTTTCCTTGTGCGCACATACATATGCCATTTGTTTCAATTCGTAGCAAAAGCAACGGGGAAAAATGCCAAATCGGAAAATGAAGATGGCGACACAACAGACCGCACTATTATGGCATTGCCTGCCTTCTTAACAATCCAAAAAATATAACTAGTTTGGTTGGTATGAGTGGCGATGAGATGTCAAATTTCCCCCTAATTAAAAAATTAATCTGACAAACACTTTACCCCTTAATTAGATTGGTCTGGTGCACGAAAGAGAATTAATTTAAATATAATACGAGTTTAAAGGTGTCTTATACAGTTAAAGTCTGTATAGAACACTTTATAGTCTAAAAAAAAATAATTCCAAAAAATATATATAATTTCCAACGCCCATAACTTAGCGTGAGTGGCAGCCAGCAATGATGGGTACGACCCTCGATCTGTTCCATATCCCGACAGGACCGACCGACAGCCAGACATTTCCCCCTTTCCTCCGGCGCCCATTTTGCTTGTGGTGGGAAAACACTGTTACAACCTAGGCACGCAGTCAATATCCAACTGTTTCTGTGATTTTTTTTTTTTCTTTTTTCTTTGCAAGTTTCTATGGTAACATCTTCTTCTTAGTTCTTAAGGATCCGAGTTCGAGAACTTGCGGTGGCCGCATGGGGATTTGAAGGAACTATAATGTGCAGCAACTATGATGGTGGAATAGGTGGCAACTCCTTTTCTCTCCTTGCTTCACTTCCATTTAAATTATCCTTTAATTTGTAGTTAATCCAGCCGGCATGGTGGTAATTTATTAATTACTACATTACTGATAGATATGGAATAATTATATTTTTCCTTTATAAAAATTGCCACAATAAAGTTAGTAGATAGCTCATAAAAGAAATTGTATTCTAGATACCACATAATTAATTGCTATTGAATTGTTCAAATATTACAAGAACAGTATAGTATTAGAACATGACAAAGAATGTCATAAACTATATAATAACTTAACTATTTATACTAGCTCCTTAACAACCTCTATACAAATAGGGCACCTCTATGAGACTTGGTTGTTCAAGTGGGTCAACCCCGGAAGCTGGCCCTAGAACCCCATGGCTAACCTCGCTTCATGTCGACCCTATGATTAAGAATTCATGCGACCCCTGCTTCTTTGGGCATCCTTTGATTGATCCCGAGTCTCTTAAGTAGTACATTATTTGAGCTCATGCCTAGTGATGGATGGTATAAAGATAATACACAGTAATACACATATGGACTGATCCAAGAAAGTAACTGGATCAAGGAAGTCTAAGGATAATACACAGTACAGAACAACTTAGGAGTTTAAAGCCCATCCCAAAATCGATCCTTGATCCGCATATTTCACTTTAAGTCTGGTCACACCTCTCAGGCTAAAAATTTTAGAGTGGGTCTAATATATCCATCATTCCCTTTTAGGCATATATACAAGTCTTGTTGTTAATTTACTATGAGTTAATTCATCGCCATTAATAACCATATCCTACTTGCAATCTTAAGTAGGATTTGGTATCCACCATATTGAAGTAATTCTTAGTGCACATATATAAAATTTTGTATATATAAATTAATACATATTAATGCGAGTTTATTTTGAGTAATTCACTATGAGGTTTGTTAATTGTTATATATTAATGAATATAGAAAGCAACAACAAAAAAAAAAAAGAGAGTATACAATTGATCAAACATAATTACTATTTTGGTAATAAGATTTGCCTCAAATCATTTGTACAAAATCTTGTGTCATATTATGTACTCCGTAATACATTACTACCTCTATATGTAACACGCTATTAAATTAGGCAAATTATTGTATGGACCATGGTTCACATAATGTTATGTGGACCATAACAAAAAGTACATTTCTAATATACTAAATGTACATTATTTTTGTACTGAATGTACATTATATAATATAATGTACACTCAGAACAAAAATAATGTATATCCCCTGTATACAATATACATTATTTTTGTACTGAATGTACATTATTTTTATATTGAATGTACATTATTTTATAGTAGACAAAATATGGTCTATACAACTTGTGTGGACCATGGTCCATACAATAATGATTGATTAAATTACACCTCTTGATGGTCAACCCGATATAATATTAATCATTACTTTAAAATATATTTATTTAAAATTTGAAATAAATAATACATAATTAAATTTTATAATGATGATTTCTAAAAATAAAAGCATATTTCATAAAAGTGATAATTATTTAAAATAAAAAATAGTGCACAAAATTTAACTAATTACACAATCTATACTATATATAAAAACAAAATCCTGCAATTTTAACTTCCCGCCCAATTCCTAAAAAATCTCTCTTCCTAATAAAATATGTTAATTTCTACTTTCCTATTCGTACAATAATTATGGGTTAAAATTCTATTCTAATATTATAAAATACTGTAATACAATTCCTATTGTAATCTATCTATCTATACATCTATACTATATATAAAAACAAAATCCTGCAATTTTAACTTTCCGCCCAATTCCTAATAAATCTCTCTTCCTAATAAAATATGTTGATTTCTACTTTCCTATTCGTACAATAATTCTAGGTTAAAATTCTATACTAATATTATAAAATACTGTAATACAATTCCTATTGTAATCTATCTATCTATACATCTATACTTCTATACTATATATAAAAACAAAATCCTGCAATTTTAACTTTCCGCCCAATACCTAAAAAATCTCTCTTCCTACTAAAATATGTTGATTTCTACTTTCCTATTCATACAATAATTCTGGGTTAAAATTATATTCTAAGAATTATAACATAGAATAAATCGTAATAATTAATAACTATAATCTAAGATTAAATTTGGAATTGTCAGGAAAGATAAGCGACCTTCTGGTGAAATTAACTCTTTATCGATTTAAATATTCTTAATATATTACCACATTTCCATTCCGTGCATCGCACGGGTGAAAATACTAGTTTATTATAATAAGAAGATTAATATGTAATAAAACCAATTAATTTATAAATGATAATTGAATAATATCAAGATTATTAGGATGAAACATTTATCACAATATCAAAAGTATACATAATTTGGTTTAATTTCAATTGTCAAGATCAAACATTTAACGCTACACTAAAAGTTATAATTGATAGCAAATGCATAATTATATTTCATTATACTCCTTTCATCTCATTTTATGTGTTTGGTTCAGTTAATTTAAGGATGTTTTGACTGAAGTTATTTTTAATTTAATTTTTCATAATATTAAGTGTAGTATTAGTATATAAAATGTACTCAATTCGTCCCATTTTATGTGTCAGGTTTGGTTAACGAGGCTTGACTGTCGGTTATTTTTAGTTTACTTTTTCATAATATTAAGTTTAGTATTAATATATAAAATTTATATATTTAGAAACTACATTAATAGTACTATTAAACACCAAAAAAATCAAATTTAAAAATAATTAAAAAAATAAATAAAGAATAAAGAGTTAGTTCGACCAATAAATAATAAATAAGACAAATAAAATGAGCTAGATGGAGTATATATTTAGAAGCTATAATAAAAATAATATTAAACACAAAAATTAAATTTTAAAAATAATTACAAAATATTAAAAAAAAAAAGAAGCAAAGAATAAATAGTTGATTTGACCCATGAATAGTAAATATGATAGGTAAAATGTGACAAAAAAAAAAATACTAAATTAGTAGCTAAAATCACGTCTAGAATGCACATCGATAAGACACTAGATTTGACTTTCTAAGTCTTCATTTAAAAAAAAAATGAAGGAAAAGTTAGTGTATCGTGTTGGTACAATAATACCAAGTACATTGCCTATTATTATTATTATTATTATTATTATTATTATTATTATTATTATTGGTGTATTAAGTGTCAACTTTTGACCAGGAGTGTTAGGATTAAACACTTAATTAACAACGATGATAGTACTAAGTACAACATGTAGATTATCTTTTGTTATATTTGTTTTAAGTTTTAGATTTGGAGTGCATGTATTAATTATTATTTTTTAAAATATTATCAACTCTATTACAATGTTGTATCTGTTCAATATACTTTCTCTATCCGTTGTATAAAGAAAAGTCCAAACTTTTACTAGTGTTGCAAGGCCCAACTAGCAACATAGTTGTGCAAATATTTGAATTATCACTTAGGTCCTCACCCAAACTTATTTATAACACATTGGTGGCTGTTGTCTTTCCCCTCAGCCAATTGCACCACTATTTCTATAGTGGCACGACCACTCTAAGTTATGTTGTTGATACATGACTCGATCATGTGTCTTTAGCCAGACCTCCACTTTGTGTCGGGCGGGCTTCGTTTTTAGGTTACACAAAATCATCTTTCTCGTTATGTTCAATATTGGGCCTATGCTGTATTGAATGACTATTTCTCATTAGTCCCAACACCGGGTATCACGAGCATTGATACTAATTGATGGAATTAATTAAA